TTGGAGAGATAGCCTGTGCTTACGCTGACGGGTGTCTCACCACAAGGGATGCAATGGTCGTCACGTACTTCAGGGGAGCCGTCACTGAAAACGATCACAAAATACCCAAAGGACTGATGGCTGTCGTCGGCCTCTCCAGAGCTGAGGCCAAAAAATTGTGTCCAAACGGTGTATACGTTGTCTGCAATAACGCGAAAGACACTGTTGTTGTCTCTGGTATTAAACACAACATAACATTATAATCATTATGTCTTATAAATGGTATTCAATTGTAGGTCCAGTGAAAGAGATGTCACAACTGATAGAAGACTTGAACACAAAGGGTGTGTTTGTAAAGGAATTAGAGAGCAGTGGTATTCCCTATCACTCGGAATACTTGCAAACCTCCGCCAAACCAATGATCGACAAAATCAAGAAATACATCCCAAACCCGAAGCCTCGGTCGCGGAAATGGGTTTCCACTTCTGTGTTGGAGTCGGAACCGCGCGAAGACGCCCTCCGATACGCATCTGCCGAGTATTTTGTTCACAATCTCATAAATCCGGTTCAGTTTTACGACAAACTCCAAGAGTTGCCGGCGGATGCGATTGTGCTGGAGATCGGACCGCACTCTGTGTTCGCCAAAATGGTTACACAAACGCTGGACTCGTGTTCATACATATCGCTCATTAAAAAGGACTCAAATGACACAAATCTGGACACATTTCTGGCCGCTATCGCCTCTCTCTACGAGTTGGGTCGTAACCCACGTATCGATCGCTTGTACCCGACTGTCGATTGGCCGGTGAGTCGCAGCACTCAATCGATCGGCGCACTCATGCGTTGGGATCACCGGCAGTCATACCACGTGCGCAAATATCCCGACCACTTTTGTCGGGCCACTGCCTCTGACTTCAACTTCACGATTAACATAGCGTTCAAAGACGAGGGCTTTTACGCGGATCACGCCATCGACGGCAATATCCTATTCCCGGCGACCGGGTATCTGATGCTGGCGTGGCGTCAGTTCGCCGGCTTCCGGGGCCGCACTTGGATGCAGACACCCGTCGTGTTTGAGAACATTCAGTTCCGACGCCCAGTATTTCTGTCGGAAGCGACCGCTACTAAACTTAAAGTCCGTTACTTTGAAAACTCAGGTAATTTATGAATGGAATATTAATTTCCATGCATTTAGTTTTACACACAAACTGTTAATTAGTTTTAAACAGTCATTTATTAATCTCAATTATTTGAAACATTAAATACTTGGGAAGAGTGGTGTTATGGGATTCATGTAATTTATAGTTTTGTTTTTTGTAAAGTACCGGTATAATATTGTGTTTATAATAGTTTTTTATTATTTACACATTTTGCAATGATCTAGGTGATTTCGTAATACTGGAAAACGGTAACGTGACGTGTGTGGGCCGCATACGGGCGCCGCCATCTGACGACTTTTTGGTCGCCCAATCCATGATAGGCGAAGACGACTCGTTGGCCACAGTTGGGGACAACTCTAATGAGTTGACGCTCACCACTGAAGACATATACAAAGAGTTACGGATAATGGGTTACGATTACGGCAAAGAGTTCCGCCGCTGTCGACGCATACGGACCACCAATTTTGGTCAATTGCGGGGAGACATCGAATGGAACGGCAATTTGATCACATTCTTGGACGCTATGCTTCAGTCGATGGCATTTGCGGCTCCGGTGCGCAAAATGATGGTTCCGGTGATGATTAAGTCACTGCGAGTCGACCCGAAGCTCTTTTTTGACACTATATCCAGCAATAGGGCCGCAGATATGAATGAAGAGTTGGAGACTGACTACTCGACAGAATTGGATCAACTCGAAGACATGCAAACAGATCAGGGCGAGAGCGCCAGTGCTTTCCTCTCAGACAATGATAGGAAAGAGTTGAAACACTATCTCTACGAGCGATACTACCTCTACAAGTCAATGATGCCCTTCTATTTTGACTCCGAGTGCCGACTACTGGTCACTCACGGCATCGAAGTGGAGAATGTGATGGCATTCCCGATACCGCGCAAGACTGACGCCCAGGACCTCAAACTAGAGTCCTATGAACTGTTGCCCAACGAAGATATGATGGCTATCGACCCGTGCGATCGACAACTCATTGCCGATTATATTAAGGTTTGTTTTGTGTTTAGTTAATGATTATTTTTAATTGTTTTCAATTGTTACTAAATAGTTGTGTAAAACAATGGCAGCAAAAGTACGACAAATGGGTTTTGAAGAAATGAAATGCGATTTTAATTATGAAAATATAAGCGAAGATACGATCAAAGAGTATAGAAATGGAAACAATGAGAATCACGTTATGTTTAAAGCGTTGGACAAAATTCTGCTGGAAGTGGTGGACACGAACCACAATAAGACCAGTGATGATAATCGCAAAGTGTTGGACAAACTGATGGCAGACATAGAGTTAGATTTGAGTCGAGATCTTATAAATCAAGTACAGAGGAATGAACGCCTGATTCGAAGTTTGGTCGATATTGTGAGCGAAAATCTGGTGCCGAAGAAAGTGATCAAAGCGTTGGAAATCAATCTATGCATCGGAGGAGAGTTGGCTAAACATGTGGAACAATATCTGTCATATTATCACATCTATCCCATTGACGTGGAGTACAAACTAGTGGTCAAAGAACGGGAACACTTACACGAGACGCTCAAAGACAAAGCTATAGATTGGAGCCCCTCTGCGGACACGCCCTACCCGTCGGACACAACACCTGCCGATCTGCTTATCATTAGAGACAGCAAAGAGTTATGGGAACTAAATATCGATGATTTTGTACAAGAATTGAACGACTCTATAGCGGGCAATGGTTTCCTATTATCTGTGTTTCGGTATAAGTATACCGAACCGGAACTCGCCTTGAATTCACTGAACGGCAAAAAATCGTTGACCGACTCAGACCTGAAAAAACGGATCAACGACTTCCTCATGAGTGCCCGAAACCATGAATTCAATTTAGTGGCCCTTAAGTGCGATTCAATCGCTTCCATGGCTTTGCTATTTAGAAAAGTGGCCGCAATTGAGCCCAAAATACCCCAAAATGATAATATAATTGCCATTAATTCAACGGATTATAAACAATGGTTTAATGTGTTGAAGGATAAGTTGATGGCCGCTAAAGAAGCCGAGGATAATAGCGGCCACATATGGCTTGTGGCGAATGACTCGTGTATTAACGGAATCATAGGTTTAATGAATTGCTTGCGATTAGAACCGGGAGGCGAGAGATTGAGAGCTATATTCAATTGTGACGGCACTGGCCATGCATTTGACTTCAAGCAAAAGCCCTACTCAGACATATTGGCCAATGATTTAGCTATCAATGTTGTAAAAGACGGCAAACTTTGCACTTATAGACACTTACGACTGCCTAAAGATCACGATAAGGTCACCTCTAATGAGTACTTCTTGAATATCGGACAGACCAGAGATCTGTCGAGTCTTCAATGGTATGACTCCAGAGCTATAGTTCCCGCTAAAGACGTGTTTGACATAAACAACAATTTTGTAAAACAAATTCACTGCGATATCTATACGTCTGGACTCACATTTCATGACGTGTTGGTCGCCACAGGTATTCATCTCTCAATTATAACTAAATGTGATAAAACATAATTTAAACATAATATTAAACTTTCAGGTCGTATCCCAAGTGGTCCTCAATTACTATTTACTGATTGTCTGATCGGTTGTGAGTTTGCTGGCCGTCGTGTGGACTCTGGGCAACGGGTGATGGGCTTTGAAATGACCCGTTGTTTTGCCACATCTATCAATGCAAACGAGAAAATGATAACTAATATACCGGAGCACTGGTCTATGGATGAGGCGGTGACTATACTCAGCACTTATAGCACTGTATGGTATGGACTCATAGAAAGAGCTGGACTTAAGAAAAGTAAATTAAAAACTACTAATTTTTCAAACATTTAATAATTAAATTGCGAATAATTTTTTAGATGAGAGTATTTTAATACATTCGGGCGCCGGAGGTGTGGGACAGTCCGCGATAATCATCTGTCAGTACTATAATTGCAATATCTATGTGACGGTCGGCACCGAAGAGAAGAAACAGTTTTTGATCAAAAAATACAATATACCGGAGGAGAAGATATTCAGCTCAAGAGATATAATGTTTAAATACAAGATAATGGCGTCGACCAAAGGAAAGGGTGTGGATCTCGTGCTGAACTCGTTGGCCGGCGACAAACTTGACGCCAGTTATGAGTGTGTGGCCAATGGCGGCCGGTTTGTGGAGTTGGGAAAGTATGATCTGGTGCTCAACAAACAACTCGGAATGTTTGACTTCTTGAGAGACGTGTCGTTCATTGGCGTCGCCGTCGATATCTGTCTTATGGAAAAAGAGGACTTTGCCCTCAACTTCTTTGAGTGGATGCATAAGAACTCGAGTAATGGTTGCGTCAAACCAATCAACACAACTGTGTTTATGGCCACTGAAGCTGAAAAGGCTTTCCGATACATGACTACCGGTAAACACATTGGAAAAGTGATGGTTAGGATCAGAGACGAGGAGTCGGATAAGGGAGCCGTGAAGGCAGTGAAACCCGCCATTGATTTGCCGGTTACTATCAAAACTTATTTTAACCCAAATAAGGTGTATATAATAACGGGTGGTTTGGGTGGCTGTGGACTAGAGTTAGTCCATTGGATGTTATATATGGGCGCAAAACGTATTGTATTGACGTCGAGGACCGGCGTTACAACCGATTACCAGCGCTATGTCATTAAGCGTTTAGACTATTTTGGGCACAAATTCAAAATTTTTGGGGCAAAAATAGTGGTCTCGACCACTGATTGCCAGACACTGGAGGGCGCGAAACAAGTGATACACGAAACTATAGATTTGGGACCCATTGGAGGGATATTTCATTTGGCACTCGTATTGAATGATTGTCTTATTGAAAATCAAACAGAAGACAAGTTTTGCGAATCCATTGACACAAAGCACAAGATATTTGCAAATCTGGATCAACTGACCCGACAATTGGAGTATAAATTGGATTATTTTGTAGTGTTTTCGTCCGTCACTTGTGGTAAAGGAAACGCAGGGCAATCAAACTATGCGTTCGGAAACTCCATGTGTGAGCGTATATGTGAAGAGAGACGTAGGGATGGTCTGCACGGACTCGCCATACAATACGGACCCATCGGTGATGTCGGAGTGTTTAGCGACTCTTCAGATCAAATGATTCAATTGACTAATTTTCAAACCCAGAGAATTAACTCTTGTTGTGATGTTTTGGACAAATTATTAGCAATTAAACAACCGATTGTTACCTCTTATGTGAGTCTCTC